GCGGAGATTGTGATTGTGTCATGTTTATCGTGAATGACTTTTGGAAGCGGGATGTAGCAGCCCACTCTTGAAGGGTTTTACTTATTGATATTAACAAATAAATGTAGTATTTCGCTCAAAGCCGAGCCTGAGCTTTTCTCTTCAATATCTTCCATTTGCTTGAGAATGGACTCTTGAACGTTTGAAATAAACCATTCTCCCAAGTCCGTTGTTAGTGATGTATATTCATTTTTAATATTGAAATATTTGTCGCCGAAAATGAACTCCCCGTCTTTGTTCAATGTCATATATACTGCTGCTAGCTCTACATAATTGACTTTAATCATTAAGTCTTTGGTGAGTGGCTCTTTGATCCTTTCCGCAAATAGAGTGAATAAATCTTCTAGGAAAGCTGCAGCATCTGCTGATTTGACATCTTCCCACTTGATACGCACTTCGTCGTCACTTATACCCGAACCATGTTTCTCGTATTGTGCACGAATGCTAAGCAGATGGCTGAGTTGCGATTGGTACTTATGTTTTTTGGATCGCGGCAATATCGATGAAAGAGCATTCTCTGGATATCTAATACCCTCATTCAAAACAGATTCTTCTACATTATGAAAAAAAAATTTAACAAAAAAACTTTTAACAAAGGCATTTATAAATTATCAAACACAATTTAATTCTGCAAATATCTGTATCTCTTGTTAAAGTGATTATTTATATATATTTTTTTATGCAACGAGAGTGGCATAGGCCTCAAATATTTTTGTACTGAACCATACTGGCTCGTAGCACAAGTAATCGTTTATGTGTATTCATCATGGGTTTCGCAAGGCTAAATCTTCCGCCGACTCTTTTCTATGAAAGGATCTTTTAGGCAAGAACCGGGTCGGATGAGATATGTGTGATAACCCCTACTACGGGTCGAATTGCTATTTAATACTTAGCAGATGATCTGATGTGCATGAAGCATCGGTGGTTCAATGGTAGAATGCTCGCCTGCCACGCGGGCGATCCGGGTTCGATTCCCGGCCGATGCATACTTTTTTGACCTCATCATTTAATAGAGTTTCTTCAAATTTTATTTAATATACTTTATAAATAAAAGCGTGGAAAATTCTCTTTTTAAATACCGGAAAAATTATTATTGTTCCTAAATCTTAAAAATTTCATAAAATACTTGAAAAATTTTGATAGGTCAAGCCGAAAATTTTTTTGAAATTTAAAACTATGACCCGTCGATTAACCAAAGGATTGGTTACATATCCTTTATCCTGGAGCATCCTATGTGAGGAGGCAGACAGGGACACGTGGGGTAGGCCCTACGAGATCGTGATGTCGCGGCTAAGGGGCCCGAGAGCAAAACCACCTAGCTCTCCGTCACTGGTGCGACGCGCGGTGGCTGCCCTCTTCCCGGTGGTAACCGATGAGCTCTCCCCTCCGCCAGTGGTTCCGGACGGAGAAATAGCGCCTGGCGTCTCCCTGGGAGAGCTCCGCAGAGCGTGCGGAAAAATGAAGGAGCACACAGCACCCGGCCCAGATGGAATTCCGAACGCGGCACTGAGGATCGCGGTAGCAGCTCGCCCTGACATTTTCCTCCGAGTGTTCACGGCGTGCATAAGGAGCGGCGTTTTCCCGAGATGCTGGAAGCGACAGAGGCTCGTCCTGCTGCCGAAGCCGGGGAAGCCGCCCGACGAGCCGACCTCTTTCCGGCCAATCTGCATGCTGGACGCGATGGGCAAGATGCTGGAGAGGATCATCTGCGATCGTCTCCAGGCCTTCACGGAGAGCCCGGCCGGCCTCTCGGATCGCCAGTTCGGCTTCCGGAGGGGCCGCTCCACGATTGACGCTATAGAAACGGTCGTTTCCACGGCACGCGAGGCTCTCAAAGGCGAGAGGTGGCTCGGCGGAACAAAGGAGTACTGCGCCGTCGTGACGCTGGACGTCAAAAACGTTTCAACACGGCCCGGTGGAATAACATCCTCACCGCGCTGGAACGCATTGAGACGCCTGCGTACCTGCTGAAAATAATCGCAAATTATTTTCAAGGCAGAGTCCTGGAATTCGGCACAAGCGATGGGCCCGAGGTCGGCAGCGTCACGGCGGGCGTGCCTCAAGGGTCAGTTCTAGGGCCAACACTGTGGAACGTGATGTACGACGCCATGCTGCGCCTCAACCTACAGCGCAGTGTCAACATCGTAGGCTTCGCAGACGACATCGCGTTGGTAGCGGTGGACAAGTACCTCTAGCGGATCGAAAACCACCTGAACGCTGCTGTCGTACAGGTCCGAGAGGCGATCCTTCGGCTCGGCTTGGAAACCGCCGATCAAAAGACAGAAGTCCTGTTGCTCACCAGCAGAAAGAAGATGGAGTCAATCACCATCACAGTGGGGAACTGCCACATAAAATCGGCTCCCCACATCCGCTATTTGGGACTGCACATCGACGCCAGACTGCGGTTCGACGTGCACCTTGCAAAGGCCAGCGAGAAGGCGAGAAGCGTGGCCGGAGCTTTGGCAAGTATTATGCCAAGAACCGGCGGTCCCAGGAGCAGCCGAAGGAAGCTGTACGCAGGCGTGGTCGACTCGGTCCTGCTCTACGGGGCCCCCATCTGGAGTAGCGCCACAGAGACGAGGGCCTACTTGCGTCAAGCGGAGTCAATCCACAGACGAGCCTGTCTGCGCATCATCAGCGGACGCCCGCATCTGTCGTACGAGGCCACCTATGTCCTTGCCAGCATACCACCGCTGGTACTGCTCTCGGACGAGCGAGCCAGGCTTTTCCATTGCAGCCGCGATGATGCGGGCCGAGGCGACGAGCGACAGGAGACGCTCAGAAGATGGCAGGTCCAGTGGGACCAGTCGACAAAGGGCAGATGGACGCACCGACTGGTCCCGGACATCAAGGAATGGGTAGAACGGCGACATGGTGAGATGTCTTACCACCTCACGCAGCTAATGACCGGGCACGGCTACTTCAGACACCATAGCCAGCGCTACGACAACAACGCCAGCGTACGGTGCCCGGTTTGCCTCGACGAAACTGAAAACGTGGAGCACGTATTTTTCCACTGCTCGCATTTTGAGCCCGAAAGAGAAGTGCTGCAGGCGCAAATTGGCGAGTGGACCGAACCGGAGAACATCGTCCGGCTCATGTTGAGAGACAGGTCTAATTGGAACGCGGTTTCCAATTTCGCGAAGACAGTAATAACAAGACTGAGGCAAGAAGCAAACGTTTAACAAGACCAAGGACGATAAATAACTACTGAAACGAAAGCAGTTGAAAGGCGGCTGGGGTCCACACCGAAGTAATGTCTAGCGACGGATTCCGGTGTGTGCTCTCGGTTGCCACGCTGACCCCTCCCCCCCTGGTCCTCCAACGCTGCCGTCTTTTATATAATTTTCCCACCTCTGATTTGTAAACTTTTGTTCAAATCAATATGCAAAATAAAAGACTTTTTTCTATTAAAAAAAAAAAAAAAAAACTTATCCTTTACCTCCAATCGGGAAACCCAGGTATTTTTAGGGGTTAATACAGAGGATACCGACCTGCTTTACCGATGGATGAGTTGCACACTCTCACTCATAAACTAAACCTATAGTGATGTATTTTAATCTATAATGTCTACACTAGGGTGGTCCACTTTTCCAAAACATTTTTGTATCTTGGGGGATCCATCGGAATCTGAAAGTTTGAGGTTTAAAATCAAATTTTCTTCAAACTAGAACTCAAACAAATGATTGTAGATTGTGTCGATGGATTTTTGAAGTTTAAAAACGTACTCCGAAAAAGAAGCAAAATCGGTCAACCATTCGATTTATTTCAAACTCTGTTCAGAGTCTAAAAATAATCTTAACAATACATTTTCGTACGTGTTTTTGTCTGCATAATCGAATTCCGTAGTCAGTTTTGCCGTAGGAGTACGATTTCATTGAAAAAAATACACTTTTTCGATAGCTTTTTTTCGCAAATTTCGCATAGTTCCTTTACGAGCGATCGGCAAATGAACAAAAACAATCTAGAAAATTGTTTGACACCACCAAAGTTTAGGATTTCTTATGACGAATCCAACGGTATAAGTTAGTATACACTTTAAAATTATTTTAATGCAGAAAAGTGCGACTTTATCCTAAAAAACGATATTAAAAAATGGAAAATCGAAAATATATTCGATTTTTCAAGTATTTCATATTTCCAGATAAAAAACTTTTTTTGGCCATTCGACTTCACAGAGAATCGGCCATATATACAAAGTCATGCTCTCGTACATAATGCCGAACGTTCGAGAACTTAGACAATTCCGAAAAAGGCTCTTGGTTTCCCAGGGCCACTGGCTGCAGAGTATAAAATAATAAAAAACCATACATAAGCATACTATGTCTTAACTTCTTGTCGTAAACTTTATAGGTTATTATAACTGGCTCCCTGGTATTGCTATTGGTTGTAAGTGAAAGTGGGTAACTTATAGTATGTGAATACCTCTTGATAAATTATGATGTAGGCTAGACTTCATAGCTTAAAATACTCACGCCTGATGTTGGCATAGGTTATGTGCATCAGAAAGTAACTCTACAATCGGTAAAGCAGGTAACCATTTACCCACGCTACACACAAAAGGATCCTACCCCAATACCCCACTCTTTAAATTCAAGAGTCGGTATAACTCCGCCATAGATAAAATAAGTAGCCGTCTACGAGCTGTCAGCAGTGAAGCAAAGACCCCCCACCCTTGGATTGGAGAGTGGAGAGGGGGAGCCTCGAGGAAATAGGAGCGAGGGGTTCCAGAACTCTTATAGCTTCTTTACTAATGGTGACTAGATGCATGTTGAATTCACGCAACATAACGCTATGAACTTCACCGCTATTTTCAGTCTAGTGTGATTGAAAAATAAGCTATAGAAATTTCTCAAAAACTGTAGTTATAACTACAGTCATATATGATCAAATTTTTGTTCAGTAATTTGTTACGTAATATTACAATTTGAACTTTATTGATAATCCTACTATTGGTTTCATTACATTTGTTGCAATACACTCAAAAAAGAATATGATGTCTTCATGATCTGTAAAATAGATATTTTAATGTTTTTTTAAAAAGTGTTTTTGTCACCCCAACATAAAGTCACATTTTGTTGCCACCGAACAGAATCAAAATATTATTTTAGGCTAGGAGATTCACAAAAAAATTTACTTGCACCTATGCAGGAAAAAGTCTCGAGCACGTGATAATCAGCCTCCACTGATAAATTACGTGTACTCGGCAACTTTTCAGTTTTTCTCTCTATAGGCACGAAATATACTATTATTGAAAATCTAACAACCTTTACCTTTAAAAGTGCTTTTATATTTATAGGTATAATGTGAGCAGTCTCTATTTTACTTGGTTTCAACGAGCGCATCATCATGATTATTAAGGCTTTTCTCGTAAACGGTGATAAATCAGTCCAATCCATTTCAAATATAGCATTTGTGATCTCTGTACTCTGCACGACAAAATATTTTATCCTACACCTCAGCGAAAAAGTTTCAGAAGAAAATGTAAAAAATATAAGATTACTAACGTCTTCTGGCACGTGATACATGTTTCTATATTCTTTTCCCGTATAACAGTTTACTACATTTCATTAAAATGAAGCCAACTTTTTATTTGAAATAAGAATTTTTTTTAGTTTCATTTTTTTTAATACTCTATTCTTGAGTAAATAAAATTGTCATTTAAATTGAAACCCCATAAAATAATGTGTAAAAAATATAAAAATTTTATGAAAAAATGAAATTAAAGTTGCGCTCTATGACAATTTGTAATTAAACAAATATGATATTGTAATAAAATGTTTATAAATGAAGTTGCTGTCTAAAATCGTTAGTAATTTTACACGCTTCTACATTTCATTACAATTTATAATGTAATATGAATAAGTTTTATTTTTACTCTTTTTATATATTTTTTTTGGTTTGGGAAATAATTATTAATTTTTAAGTTGTATTTAAACTTACATGTAGTATAACGCCATTTCCATACCAACAGGGTAAATATATTTGGAATAGAGATATTGATAACAAACCGAATGTCGTTACAAAATCTACGTTCATGCCAATTTTTTGAAACGATAAAAGATATACGTTTATGCATATATTGGGTACAACAACAGCTAGCATAGCCAATAACCAACCAGAAAAATCATGATTTATCATTTTCAAGTACCTAAAATGCATAGAATGCAACTTATGCATATAAACCAAATTAATTTTTTTAAGTTCTATGAAAAATATTTTTCTTTATAAAATTAAGTTGACATTTTTTTTCATCAGTAAGTGAATATTCTTGATTTAAAAATATTTTATAAACGAAAAATATTTACCCAAAAAATAATGTTAATTCTTATTACGTATAAATTAATTGATGGTCACAAATGTATTGTCGTAAGAATACTGATTCAATACTTGATTTCGAAAGTTTGGTACCTAAATAACGGTGTGCATCTATACAATGTTTTGAAAAACTACGTAGCCGGTGTTTCAATAATTGGAGCTGCACACAAGATTGAAGAATCATTCCAGATAATAACGTGTCTGCGCCTATATGCATTGAAATAATAGAACCTCCAACAAACATTTGTTGACTATAAGACACCCAGAAATACACTGTTTCATTTGTATTATAAGGATACCATGACGGAGTTGGAAGTTTCAAATCTGTATCGTACTTCACCATGGGTCCAATTAATTTGATGAAAACTCCAGCTAAACAAGCTACAGCGTAGATTAGATGTGTACGCCTCAATAATAAAAAAATTTACATAGTTAAAGATTGTTTATCACACAAAAATTTATATATTCTTGCATATATACATATTAAAATGTTGCTACTTACCAACTTTCGTTAAAGTAAATTTCAAGAATATATTTTTCATAATCGTCTCGAGGTACATGCCAACGATCTTCAAAACCTCTGGTCAAAAGACTTAAAATACGTTTACGATAATAAAAAATATTTAAGGCCTTATACATTCCATTTATTAAAGATGTCATCATGAAAAATATATCTAAATCGAAATTTTTTGAACTTATCATCATGACAAATAAAATACTGACACCTAAAGTAAGAGACATTTGTACAGCTAATACTATGATGGTAAAAACTGAATAAACTTTTTTAATTGAAGGATTAAAGTTCTCTGGGCACCAAACACCCCATAATGTAAGTAAATGAAATGGCACAGGAAGGACTTGATGTTCCAAACTATTTTTAATTAACATTTTACGTTTTTTACTACAACTATAGTGAAATCTTGAGTTTTTTCAAGTATAGTAAAAGAAGGTAAACTCTTATAAAATGTAGTCAGTAGAACGATGCCCATGCAGTTATTAAACTTGCAGAAGAGCTATGGCACTATTGATTAATGTCTCTACTTACGTATTTCTGTAACAATTTTTAATTAAAAAAGTAATTGGTTTTAGTGCTAACTAATATTCAAGTGAAAAAAATTACTGGCAATCGATTATCATGCGTTTATAATTATTTATGATATGAGTAAGTTCTTTGCAAACATGTATTTCTGTTTAATTATAAACTATTATTGAAAATTAAATTTCAATACTTTGAAAAATAAATTATTCAATAGCTTTCAAATTAATTAAAAAATATAACTTGTACTGGAATGAAATAAAGTAAGCAATACAAATGTCAAATATAAGCTTGTTGAGAAAAACTGATGTTTTAGAATGTGCATTTCTTAAAAATATGTACTTTAGAAAATATGAAAAATTGTATTCACAGAAAGCTTACTTTTGCATTCTTTTAAGTAGGTGTATATTTCAATCTAAATAGTTTCAATAAATTACTGACAATTTGTTGTCAAACTAACTCACAGTGTACTGAAAATACTGATATATTATTTTTAATGTGTTGTTTGTTGAAGAATATTAAAAGATGAGTAAGATGCTTTGATAATCTGCACTCGAAAAATAAATTTTATTAAAATTAAAATAACAAAATCTAAATTATTGAATATTTCAGCGGGGGAAAAGCAAAACGACTCTATTTTTGGTGTTTTCGAGAAAAACAGTTTGACACCGTAAAATTTTAACTTAATTTGGGCATCTTTTGATCGGTGAATCATTAAAATTGAATGAAGCATTAAGTACGAAGCAGTTAACGTGCACTTAATTATTTATTCTTTTTAAATTTTTTAGCATAAATCCACTTTTTCTATATTTTTTTTTCACGTGAATAGTTTGCCTTAATTCATAACAATAACATCGTTTAATTATATTATCTCAACAAAATAGTTCATATTACGTTATACTAGTATGAAACCTCAAATCTTACGACGATAAAATATAAAACTGCTAATCGAGAAAATGGGCCTTCATGAGCTATCTGTACTTTCAAACATCATTTTTTTTTCCATTTCGAATCAAAATAGACTATCCATCGCGTTATAGAGTCTGCAAAGGTGGACTTATGCCTTTCATTTTTTCTAGAAAATTGGAATTATGCTACCAGGCACACGGCTGAATCCAACGATAGACGTTAGAAGTACCTGTTCTGACTATTACACTGCAATAAACATTAAATGTAGGTACTTTCCGTAGTAAACTCGTTTTAGAAAAATTCAGCAATATTGTTTTGCATTTTCACCCCAGATTTTTTATTTATATTTATGATATGTAAATCATTTTATGTGAAATATTATAACTTACTTTTATAAAGGAATCCAGATTTAAGGATAATAAATATCCTATTTTAAATTGCATTGGGCGCATCGATCGTGTCATTATGAAGATGAACAATTTTTGACTATCTAAATTAAATACTGTCCAATCCAAATCATATAATGCATCTCTGACGTTTATACTCTAAAGTAAAAATAATTATAGGCATTTTCTTTACATTTAAATCGCAACAAACTTACATTCCAAGTGATTTCATTTCCAAACCAACAGGCAATAAAAAATTGCATGAATGCAGATGTTGTACAAAATAAAGTGGCAATTATATCAATTTTTGTTCGACTGGTATAGGTAGATAGAGCGTAAATGTTTATGCATATATTTGGTAAAGAGGATACGACTAAAATTATAAGGATATCTTGAAATTTATCATTTAACTTTTTTCCAAAACTGAAAAATAGTCATCAAAATTTAAAATGAAAAATCATGAAACATAAACTTGAAAGTTATTTTCGAATTAAGACGATAAATCATTATTTTCACCTGTAAATGCGTTGATGATATTTTATACATTCTATTATTAGCATCTTTTCATTTTCGATAGATAATGTGGAACCTTTTCCATTCAGAGAAAGAAGCGAAATGTTTAAACTTCTGAGACGATGCTTCAAAACTTCTAACTGATACGATGTTTTTAGCAAAAGCCCCATAAACAGAGTGTCTATTCCAATGTGAGCGCAGACCGCTGATGAGCCAAGAATGCATTGATGCAAATAAGTAAGCCAGTACCAGCTAGTTTTTTCGACTTTGTACGGGTACCAAGCCTCGACCGGTAAAGACACTGAATTAGATCCTGTCAATGGTGACATTGCTTTCATCATAACAATTCCCAGCATGGAAACTGAATATATTAATGTTACTCGCCTAAAAAAAATTACGATAAAAACTTGAAAATTATGATCATTTGATTATTATACCAAAGTATTTTTGATAGAATGCCTACTTAATTTTTGCATTAATATCATCGTGAATTTTTTGTTCAATTTTATCTTTCGGTGTTCTCCAGTCAGCATCGAAATAAGTAAGAAGAAATTCACGGATCATTTTTCGATTAAGCATTAATTTGATAGCTTTATAAACTCCGGTAATATTTGCACTGACGAAAAAAAAGTTTATAAGTTTGAAATTTGAAGTTCCAAAACTATTTATAAAAAAAATGAGCATTTCCGTGCAAATTATGATGTCTAAGAAACTTATGAACACAAAATATGATTTTTGAATATTGGCAGCCCATAATGACCAATTTTGTGGATACCATATGCCCCAAAATGTCAGTAAAAGAAACTGATAGGGCAAGATTTCGTATTCGACGTTTTGAATTATTATATCTCTTACAAGCGAGTGCATTTTATTTAATTTTTTTTCATCTATGATCACTTTGAATTCGATACTGAAAGAAATTTTTTTCATCAGGATAACTTATGCCGTGTGAAGTACATAAAGTAGTTATTAAATTTGCAGATGAAAATTGAAGTCGGTATATCTTTGTTTCATCATTATTGCGAAGCACGTAAAACCTCTGTAAATGATTTGTTTGTGTACTTATTTCTTATTTCCATATACCACTGACTTTTCTATCGCAATTTACCTTAAATGAATTAACAATCGTAGCACCTATAGCAGTGAACAATCCATTATTGCGCTTTCCGTTTCTATTCTAACATCTATTCCTTGAGAATTCACAATGTATTTGACTATATTTTATCAATTATACAGTAATATACATAGTAGTAAATATTTGATAAATGTAAAATTTGATAGAAATATATTTGATAGATGTAAAAACAATGTTTGAATTTTGTAGATTCATTTCGAGAAATTATGTCGCTTGAATTTTCAAGTACTTGCGAACAGCCTTGTACCTTCAAAACAAGTGCTTCAAGATCGTGAGAAAGGTAAAGTACGCCAGTTTTCCCGGCATGATAATATTTCAATGTCAAAACATCGCAAATAGCTTGGTAACACTTTCATGTGCAGTGTTGGCATATGTGCTAGCCACCAACCGTCGCATATCATCATCATAGCATTGTCAGATGGAAAAATCCAATGATGTTCAGTTACTTTTATTGTTGAAAAAATTATCGCAGTGTACCGTTTTATCGACGACGACCCCCTTGAAGCTCTTATTCACTAGTGCACTGTAGCTCTATAAAATACTTGGTAAATTTAGCTATTGAACTCACGTTGAACTCATTTTATAAGATATTTTCAATCTTGTTTTTTTGAACACGCAGACCCAAAATTATTTTTTCATCTCATCTGGAAATTCTCGAAGCGACTTGCTATTTTTTTCGACTTATGCACAGATGTCGATCATCTGCGTTGAAACACTTATTATCGTTTGTTACACATGTCACACTCACATCGGTTCATACACTCTCTGTTTTTATTTGTAAATAATACACCGTAATGGCAAAAGGTATAGCACACGAGCATCAACCGAAGCGTATGACGCAAATGCATGTTATTCTCTTCTTGAAAAATTGTTGTCGTGCGTACATTAACGTGCAATGTTGCGCACTTGGGGACTGCTAGAATATAGTGGGTAAAAGCGATGAATTGCATATACGTCCTGGGGCAAGGGCAAATAAGCCCTATGATTAATACCCTACCGGCATAATATTTCATTTATCATATACGATTGCAGCATGTGCCACGTGATGTGCCTTTTCTGCGGTTTGCAAAAAAAGGTATATTGCTTAATTCATTTGTCGATGTCAAAGGAGTAATACGTAGCCGAAAGTTCAGAATTAATCGCGAGGTGAAGTTTGTCGATTAGATTAAATGATATTTTTACAACGAAATGTGATAATTATAAATATTTCCATGCTCCCCAGCGAGTTTATTCGATTTCTATTATTGGAGGATTATCAGATAAGCAGTTGTTGACAATTTTTTTTCCGTTATCTATGCACAATTGCTCGAATTATTCTCCCCTCGTGCGTTTGTTGCAATGAACATTCATGACGCATTTCGACGCATCTTGATGTTTTGATCCGGTTTCAACACTCACAGAGCGTCGACATGACGAGTACTGAGACGAGGCCTCCTCACTCTGTCATTTACGCTGCTATTTTATGTTAATATCTAATTAAGCCAAGTAGCACAACTATGAATTGTTTTTTTTTCATCTGACTATGTACGCATTCGACTTTTAGCATTCATGCAATGAAGGTAGATGTGCATGTTTTCGTCAACTTTAGATTACATTGTATAGGACACGGCCGGAGTAAAAATATACAAACTCTTGTTTGTTTGAACTCGTGATTTACACACAATAAGCATCGAGGCGATTTTTACGACGACGATTTGATTGTTTATTTATATGCCTCGTGCAGGGTTAATTCGAATGCGAATATATATTATCTTTAATGAATTTCCTGCATAGATGCACGTGCCGTTTTCATTTTTATAAATTCGGGTAAAAATTCTGAATGATGCAAATTTTGATTGATAATTATAATAACTCAAAATAACTCAAGGGTAAAATTGCAGGAACGCAACTTCTTCATACCTGGTTTGTCTCATATTTGTCGCAGTTTCGTAATATCATGATGCTGAATCCTCGGGGACCCAAGGTAATTTTCAAGCTCTTTGATGTATTACTTTGAACAGGATTTTCTTTGTCCTTGATACGTTCGTCCTCTGAGAGTTCATGGAAAAAGTGAAGTAAATCTAAAGAAACCCTTGTTTTTAATTCTTTCTAAAAATGAAGAATCATCGATCTAAGTAGTTTTATCATAGACTCGTTTCAACCGTGTAATATGATGAAATATCTCACCCCGGATAATGTCGATGCAGCCAGCGAGAGGCGTGGTCGGGTGTCGAGCAGCGATTCAAATGCATAATCACTTCGAAATGCTATTTTCAACTTTGCATGTACATATTTTCGTTAGCGCCATTCTATATATAATATACCCGAAGACTTATGTCAGTTAGTGGTCTAGCCTTTGAGACCTGGTTGTCGAGCTTTATATACGGAAACGATGTCCAGGTCAGTGACATAATGCGCTATATACTGTGGAACACGTGTACTGAGTTTTATTTGAAGCTTTTGAAAATTATACTAAGCTCCGCCCGATCCACTTTAATGATCCAGATTTGAATTGCTTTTTGAAGATTTTTCTGAAAATGTAGCTTTATAACATCATGTGAATTTGTTTTTTCTAAATAAAAGTAAGTTTCAAGTACCAAATTCGAGTTTTACAGTGTTTAATTCCAAACAATCTATTTGATACAATAAACTATTTTAATATTTCGTATGACATATTTATCATATAGTCTTCAATTAAAACGAATAAATTTCCTGATTTTTAAAATATAAAAAAATTAAGTTGATTTGAACTTAGTACTTGTAATTTTAAGTCGCTTACAATCGAGTCTGATTCTGTTAATTTTGTCCTCACTTCAATGACTAAGTTTATCACTCAATCTATTCCGAAGATCTTTTATAAGTTTCCTTTATTTCGTTATGATAAACTATGAAAAAGGATAATATACCAGAGTATTAAAAAAAAAAATTGTAATAAAAATGAGAGTGGTAAAAAAAATGTCAAACTTCTGACATTTCATTTTCTTAATGAAATTTGTAATTTTTTCAGTATACTAACCTTTTTGATACGTTAAAGAAGTGAGCTGCATTTGGTCAAGATCGGCCGATACAGATACAGAATAGATTCGGAGATAAACTGTCCGTCATTGAAAAATAACTTATTTACAACGGTGCGTGCTCCGAGAAAATAGACCCAACAACTACAAAAAAATTTTCTAGTTAGTTCGTTAATATTCTATGCATTATTTATCATTAGCACCTCTTGAAACGATTCATAATTTTTCTTGATATTCTTCAATACTTTTAAAAACGAATTCTTATTTTATAAAATAAAGATACAAACAATATTCTTGAAAAAAAAATTTCCTACTTCTCCACCAAACTTTCATCTTATCAACAAAATAAGCTTATTCGCCTAGAATTCAATCTAAACAATGATTAAAAATACGCAACAATATAAGTTTGATTCTAAAAATTAACATCTTTATAATTTAATGCAAAATTTTAACTAGTATTTTATGAACAAGTGCGGTAATAATCATATTATTAATAATTTGCTACTAGATTGATCTATATGATAAAAATCACATCCCCTTCATTTCTATGACATTGTTTGTAACAATCGAAAAGCCGAAAATGATGTTTTGATAATCTGAAAACCCCAGAAACGTTATGCTATTGAGATTATAAGTATTTTATGTGTAGAACTTTATAAAATTATCAAAAAAATCACCTCTATGAATGAAGCAACATTTACCACATATGATCGTACGGTAAATTTTATTGGTCTTCTTGCTCGTAACATCATCATCAAAATATTTTTTCTAGTCTTACTTTGTAAGGCAATCCAATTCATATGATAAATCGAATTTTCAACATCCAAACTCTTGAAAAAAAGGAAAAAGCAAGAGTATTCATACAAATTTGGTTCAACATATTGCATGATTTTTAATTGCCTCGTGGGCATTAGCATAGAATAAAAAACATACTCTAAATTCAAAATTACCTCTAAAATAATTTCATTTCCATACCAACAGTATAAAAATATTTGCATCAGACATGTAGCAAAGCAAAAAAATTTATCAACGAAATTGAAACCCAGTTCATCAAATTGGGCTAATATAAATACTGTCATGCATAAACATGGAATCGTAATGATCAACTGAGCAGCCATAATACTTTTGAAACATTTATGAACTGATTCTGCAAATCTATGTCTCGTTATCGCATTATTCGCAATTATTTGACGTATTTTTAATACAAAAATAATATCGAGAAACTTACTCGTATATTTTAGCATGCTTTCTTGAACAAATTCTTAACCAAGTGTCAATCATTGGGATATTTTTATGGATTCCCGTTGCAGTTGTCACTTCTTGTCCTTTAGATATGAAGTTATTGCTGGAAAATTGCATCCGATATTTCAATAAGTTCAGTTGGGTAACTACACGTAGAACCAAACACACAAAAAACGAATCGACGCTAATTTGTAAACATATCATCGGTATACCAGCGATTAGTTGTTGTAGGTACGAAAATAAATAAATGAAAATGTTTTCAGTTTTGTAAGGATACCAGACCTCTATGGGCAAAACCAGCCCCGATTTTGACTTCAACATTGGGATTACTGCTTTTATGGCTAGAGCCGTTGAGATGCCTAACGCGTAAAGCTCTGTTACCAACCTGAAATGATTAAGCATTAAATGATTTTCATTAAATAAGTCTAAAAATGAAAACCTTGTCTCGTTTTCGAATCTTTCGATGATTTCAGCCTCTTGTTTGTTTTTAGGCTGGTACCAAGAGTCATCGGAACACATGCTCAATACTTTTGATATTACTTTTCTATTCTTCAATAAAAAATATTTTTTATAAGCTGCCAAGGTTAAAACCAATAGAGCAAATATATTATCATAAAATAGGTCGCTTTCTGTGTTCTTGAGTAACAAATTCATAAACATCGTCAACCAGAACCAAGTGGCGGCGATTATTTGAAAAATTTCAAATATTTTGTATAATTTTTTAAGCGATGGGCTCCAATCCGACGGACACCATACTCCACACGCGGTGAATATGAAAAACTGCATTGGAAACTCATGGAAACCCAAATCTACCGACTGAATTATCATAACTATAATAAAATATATGATGTTACGAGAGCGACTTTACGATGTACGTAAGTTTGAAATAAAAATCCCCTTGGCTGATGGAAACATCGCGTATGCGACAACATTCTATCAATCAATCGAAGTACTTCGTGATTGTTTAATGAGTCACTTTGCATTGAGCGAGACTGATTTGTATACTCCGTTTGCTTTCAAAACTGTAAAAGAGGTAGCGCGACTATTAAGTGTAAATACTATCATTATTTACTATCAATAATATACCATTTAGGCGCACTCGATGTCATACTAAGTTTAGCGTGAAAATCGGTCTTTGGATAAACATATACATGTCTACACTGCATCAGGGTTGAAAAAAAAAAATAGTGAAAAGCGTGGGTTTACAAATACAAGTAATAGATAATAGTTTTATTCAAAAATTATGTATATAATGAATGATTCATAGTAATTACGGTGTATGTAATATAGTACTTTGCGGCATTCACATACTTTCGACATTAAAACAAAGATCTGTTACAAGTGTCCTTTCTCGCATGTTTTCTCAATCGGCTCGTCTCGCGGTCATTGCAATATTTCTATCGTTAACCGCTCGTCGGGCCACACTCTCTCCCAATCTCGCTGCCCTAGGTCGGGTCACACTCGTCGCCACTCGCTCAAATAATGTTCATTGCAACATTAACAAATCAAGGAATTAAGCTATTTTGGTGTGCAGTAGATTAATAATAACATATGTTTGTTGTTGTTTTCTGTTGTTGTAATTTTTTTGCTTCATCAATCAAGCGCGTAGATGCGCGGCGGAGATGGCGCGGCGCAGCACGAGCTTGCGTCTACGTCCAGAGCTCCTGCGGCACGCCTCGCACTCGGGTGAGCTTGATCGCCCGGTGAATCGTGTCGACGTGTCTATTGAGATCGCCCTTGCGCGCGAAGCTCTCGTGGCAGACCTCGCACTTGTGCGCCTTGATGCCCAGGTGCACGGCGTCTATGTGGGTCTTGAGGTGGTCGTTGCGCGTGAACGTCTTGTGGCACACCTGGCACTCGAAGGCGCGTATGGCGGTCCTCACGCCGCGGTGGACCATGTCCACGTGATTGTTGAGCGTGTCCTTGCGCCCGAAGGACTTGTGACAGGCGTCGCAGTCGAAGGCCCGGGCGTTCTGCCGCTTGAGGTTGACGCCCGAGCCGCTGGTGTAGACCGAGCGACAGGCCGTGCACTCGAACTCGGTCTTGGTCTCGCCGTGCACCGTGGTCACGTGGCGCTTCAGAGTGCCCTTTACCCCGAACACCTTGTGGCAGACCGTGCACTCGAAGGCCTTGATGCCCCGATGCACAGTGTCGATGTGCTTCATCAGGTGGTTCTTGTAGCCGAACTTCTTGAGGCACAGGTCGCACTCGTGGGCGCGGATGCTGCGGTGCACGATCTCCACGTGCTGCTTGAGTTTGCTGCGCTGGGTGAAGGTCTTGTTGCACTCGTCGCACTTGGGCAGGTCGCTGGGGTCCTTGAGGCCGACGCCAGCAACTCCAGGGGCCGATAAGCCGACGCCGGCGGGGCTGGGCCCGATACCGCCGACGCTACTGCCAGCCACGGCGGCGGCGCCGAGCCTCTGTTTGTCCATCATCGCCGCCGCCGCCGCGGCTTGCTGGCCCATCATGTGGTTGAATTTGTTGTTGTTGTTCATGCGCATGTCCTTGCCGCCGAGGTCGTAGGGGTCGGCCTTGAACTGCGACATCTCGTCGTTGGTCAATCGGTAGCGACTGGCCAGGCCGTTTTCCATTTTTACGTCGTTCAGCAGCCAATTTCGCAGATTGTCCGACGTGCCCGGATACATCAGGCCAAAGTGTGGCTTCACGTCTTTACAATCGTTGAATTCGTTGAAAATTTCCTCGTACGCTGAGTGAAATTCCGGCTAGGTAGGGAAAAATACAAAAAAACGTATCAGAATGGAGCTTTACATGTGTATAGTAAATGTATACATTGATCCAATGTTTTGAAAATATACTCACTGGAACGCCACTCGCGACTGCGGATACGTTCATGGCTAAATGATTGCCGCCGTGATTTCGTACGTTTTTCATCAGGTACGAGTTTGGATCACATAGCTGCTTCTCGATCGGCTCCGATTTGACTCTGAAACAACAACAACGGCGCGAGTCACAACACAAAGCAATCAGGCGATAATATTTGCCACAATTTTGCTCCCTAACCTCAACGTCGTCACGTACACGAATTCGCACTTGGGAGCTTACGCGATACACATCATGTATATACATATATATACGTCACTGCAATATTTACCTTATATTATTGAGTACGTTGTAGGCGTCCATTGCTTATCTCGGCTGAACTTTTTTTTGGGGACGTACTGCTCTACGCGTACATGGAAAGTCGGTGAATGAGAAAAGGGCCCCAGAAAACAGCTCTGGCACGCAGTTTATCGTATTATTTCCTCTTTCTTTTGCTCGACTGCACAATGACAATGAAGGCGAAATTTGCGCGAGCGAGCGAGGCGCGTAAGTCCGCTCACTTGCCTCGCGACGACGGCCAGCCAATTCGACGATGCATGAGAATCTCTTGCACGAACAACAACGGGGCCACGCGCTGCACACACTCGACACAGACACGAGAGACGGGGCCCTTCGAGAGCGAAAGGTAAACAATCTGGCGAATTTATTGATTGCTTATTTAGGCTAGGGTGCACAAGTACTGGTGGCGTCAATCATTCCCTCTCCTATATTTTTCACACATAACTCTGCTGGCGCACATAGCAGCAGCAGCAGCAGCAGCAGCAGTTCTCAGTGCGTGAGCTTGTATGAGTGGTGCAGTTTATGTGTGCATGTATACACGCAAACAGACACACACATCGCACTTACACACACGCACAAATGCTTATTGTGGGAGTGCTGCAGAATATTGCCACGAAAGCGCATCTACAGTGGCGGTGTGGTTTTTGCACCTGCTGCTCCGTTCCGCGGTTCTTGCGTTGCAAAGCACGCGCGACATGACGCCTCGGCTCTGCGCGCGCGCGAGCTCTACATACACAGTACACACATACATACATGCGTACAGAGGTACACAATAAAACGCAGGCAGAAACAGAATCTCTCCTCGCGTCTCGCAGTGCGGCTCGGCGTCCGACTGTAATAATGTCTCGCGCATAAATTGCGAGAGTCGCGCTCCGAAAGTATGTGTGTGTGCGCTCGCGTTTGCGACCGTCATGCTTTTAAGAATCGTCGAGAGCAGCCGCAGCTACGGCGATGCAAAAACTGACTGTAGCCTGACCGCCACACCTAGGCACGCTTCGTATGTTATATATGCATACGCAACGGTTTCGAGGCGCGAATTCGTTACCGCGCCCTGTATGATAAACGCGTAAAACGATCTCAGGTAAGAAAAAGTTATTAGGAATTCCAAGTCTGAGTGAAAACGTAAATTATACAATCTTTTTCTTAAAAGTTTCAGTTGATACAACTTTTAAAATCTACCTGAGTGCCTAGAGAACAACAAAAGCACTCGCGTGATTTATTATAAAAATATTTTTCAGTAATTTCCGAAAATATGTATCATAATTAATTTTTATGTTTACCCTGGCATTAATATCTTATAAATATCATTTGCAGTATATTATCAACTAGAGCAATTTATTGCAGAACTGCACAGAAAAATATGTAACTAAATCTCAAATTTCATCATATTAATAAAATGGCATTCAATAATTTTACTCTTTTGTAGACTGTAGCACGCTAAATGCAGAATAAGAAGTTTTCATAATCTGAAAAACAGAACATTTTTCATATCATAAATTAAATTCCTTTGTACTCGCAAAGAAAAGTTTACCAACACTCAAGAACGAATCAATGTTCATGTCCATGATCGGTCCAACACGAAACAAAATCGGCCTGGCCGTTCGTACCATCATCTGCAGTAAAAACTTCTGCGACTGAACTGTCAAGGAAGTCCAATCCATGGTCGAGATGGCAGCCTCGACATCGAAACTCTATCGAAATCGGAGGTATGACATAATTAGTTTTTGTGCACATGTAATCGTCGAGTGAAATTTTGAAAGAGAGGAAAGACTATTACGTTTAAAGTAACTTGATTTCCATACCAGCAGAAAAAGAATAATTCGATCACGACTGCTGAGAAAAATTGAATCGTCATAACAAAGTCCATACTCGCTATGTTTTGAGTCGATAGCAGATAGATGCTAAGGCATAAATTTGGTAACGTAACTGCTATTTGACCAAACAACATCACTTCAAGGCTCGAATTCAAGATTTTGGAAAATCTATTGGACATGAATTCAAAGAGTTAATAAGTATAAACTGTTGAATCATTCATACAGATGTAATAGTCATATTATTCACAGAAAAATGTTGTCGTGATCCTCGACGCATCCGGATATCAATCTTTTTTCCATCTCTTGAATATTGCCCGAATTTCCACAGTTCCTCTCGCTAGCAATGATTCCAGGAATAGCCACGATGCGCCGTTTCAAAATCTCCAGGTACGAGCAGGTTTGCAGCAAAAATGCGCAAATCAGACAGTCTTTGGCGGCGTGAATGAGCGTCGCTATGCCAGTACCTATGGCCTGCTGCCAGTAGAGCATCCAATAGCAGCTCGGATTTCGAATGTCGCAAGGACAATAAGCGTTCACCGGCAGTCTAATTTCTCCTTTGACAAAAAGATCAACGAGAGGAGCGATGACACGCAGCAGGATCGCGACGAACACAGCCGTCGTAAAGTAAACGCTAATTTTCCTAAAGGGTGTATCGCTTTCGAGTGATGAATCGCCACTCTAAATTATTTGATCTTTTTTCCATACTCACCTTATCGTCTTATCGCATTTGGCGCGAATCTCGAGCTCTTCGTCGCTCCGCAGCTTGGACCATCTCTCGCTTGCCACCATATTCAGCAGAGCGATGAAACGACCGCGAAACAGAAGAACATTGGCAGCTTTGGAGGTCGCGTTGATCAAGGCAAACATGAGAAAGACGTTCTCGGCAAACAGATCGTCGTTGAACGACATCTGACACACGGCGATCAGAACCAGCAGTGCCGTGATAATCACAATCATCAAGGAAACGAGACTGAAGCCGCTGTAAGTCATCTTTTTCCACGATGTCCAGGACAACGGCCTCCAAAGTCCGCAACATTTTAGCACTCTGAAAGGAATCGGGGCAAAGTTTACGTTCATTTTTACAAGTCGTCTGAGGACATGAAAATTCTGATGTAAAGAAAAGAAACAAAGTATTGATCAAGAAAAAGAGTTGACCGCAACATCTATTAAAGCAACCACAAATTTTCCGAATTATAAATGATTCAAAAATCGATTCGATTTTTTATTACCCTATAATTTTTTTTGCAGGTTTAGTTAATTAATAACTTAAATTAAGATCATTTCTTTGTGTATTATAAATATAAATTATTTAGTACCATTATTATGATATACCTTTAATGTTGCAATGAATTATTTTTAGTAATCTACTCGTAGAAAAAAATTATAGGGTATAAAAGTTAGCTCTTTCTATGAGGATTTTTTATTATTAACGAATAATGGCTTCTCAGAGGGATTGAGATATCTTTTCTTGCAGAGAAATTATTTCAACGTCGGTACGTTTTTTCCGTGCATACTTAAACATCGTTTCAAGATTTCCTCGTCGTGCCGCCGACATTTTATGTAATTATTCGAGCAACGACGTAATTTTTCTTATGCACCCTACTTTTTTCTACTGATGCATCTTTTGCATTTAATAGAATTATCATGTGAATTTACGATGGCGGCAGTCGGCACCATCGAAACGTTGTACTGAATAGAATAGAAAAAAAAGTCATAATGGCTTTGATTCAAGTATAGCGCACCGTTTGAACCTGAAATCTTAGCTAATTAGGTCTCGAGTGTCGAAGAACGCGACTTTTAGCGCTCCATTAAAGGATTTCTCAATGCTAAATTTTCTGCATAGAAAGTTGCGCGCGCGATAACTTCAAGGCCCACCGAACAAAAGAAAAGAAACATAAATTAGCTCGTGTTTATTAAACAAATTTATCAAGATAAACCTTGTGTGATGTAAATGTGTACTTTACTAAGTTAATTTATATAATATCGTATATGCGCGTGACTTATGCAAGAGCGAAACAAGATATGCTTTTCAATTGCCCGCAAATACGAGAGATGCGTACAAGGATAAACCCTCGAATGGATCCTTGAGGTTGTGCGTTATATTCAATCGCGAACTTTTTCATCTATGAAAATTTGCGTCGAGTTTCTTGGCTTCAACTGGTTATTTTCTACACTCGATCCTGTACACGACCCTGCAGACTATTTGCTTCGAGGGGCAAAAGACATTGACGCGTGCTAGTCTTGTGTACGCGCCCTTCAACCAGATCCCGAGATTCGCAAGAGAACTTAGAATATCGATTGGCTTCGCGATGTTCCACGAGATTCCCAGACAGCCAACAACCCTGAGACGACGTTACAGTTTTTTATGCACTCCGACCTTAGATCCGAGACTGCAGTTGAGAGCTGATTTTGATAAATACCCGATGCTTAAAGTAAAATTACCAAGGGACAATTGCGTGCACTTTTCATTGTCATTGAGGAAGTTACGAGAGTTATCCATCGTAAATGTATGATATGTATGTCTTCGTTTCCCAATAAATATTAATCTATTACTGATAAATATTTCAAAATTGATTTTTACATACGTACGTTTGATATAGAAGATGATTCGAAATGCCATTCCTTTGCTTCATTGTAATACCTTATATGATTGCAAATGTCATCGTTACATTCTCTAAACCGTTCGATAAGTCCGAAACGAAAACGAGCCAGACTTTTGCATCACTTGGACATAAAAAAACACATTCATTATGCCTAAGTACGAATAGATAAAGTTCATGTATACAACTCATTATATTAAAGAATCATCGTCTGATTCATATATGACTGGAAGATTACTTATCTTGCGAATGAGATGATCGCAGAATCACGAGACTTACGTGCATCTTTCACGTGACTTTTATCTCGTGGAAAGAGCATATGGCTGTCCGTTCAGATACTGCGTATGTGTATGTGTGAGCATGGAAATGGGAAAAAAGTTAAATAAGCACCGAGCCAATTGATAAGATCGTATGATCATGAAGAATAGCTTACTATGTAGAATCCTGACAAAAAATGTATTTAAAAGTTAAAATTAGTGTACTGTGATATAGACTCGTCAATTTATAAATGACCATAAGTTCAAAGTATTTATTATTTTCCGATTTTTTATATTTCAGGCGAATCGTGGATCAATCAATCAGTTCGCACTACCTACTCTCCACTATGTAAGTGAATGTTGTTTTATAAATGGCATATCATTAAAATTGTGAATTTTTTGGTTGATAACTTGAATATTATTCTTTTTGAACATCAAAAATACTAAATTTAAATGTTAAATGTTAAACTCTGTACGAGTAGGAGATAATTTTGAAATATTTAAATTTTTATAAGAAGGTGTGAAATTTGAATGCTCTTGTTGGTTTGATGTAGTTAGTTAGTTTACGCTAGGTAAACTTTACGTCATTACCGCTCAGATCTCGGAGAAAGTTGAGTTAATAAAATCATAAACTGCGCAGAAAATTCAAGTAAAATGATTATTTTTGATGCGAACTTTATTTTTCATTTTCATTATTATCTAAAGTATGTTTGAATTACTACTTACGAACAACAATCTGAACATTTTTGGTCAAGATTTATATATTTTCACAAGCACAATAAAAATTATGCAATTTACTTAAAAAAATTCGTACAATGTAATGTATCTTCATACATCGAAAATTATTTCTAAAAATAGAGTAAAGGTAAAGTTGTCGAATGATTAAAATTTAATTTAAAATACAAGGTCGAAAACTGGTAGATAAACTAAAAACATAAACTGACCTGCCATACGAGCTTCACTCGCATGTTTCCTCCTTATTGTGTTTCGACGATCGAGTCCACGCATCGCCAAGCTGATCAATTCCTGGTGCACAAAAGAGGCACAACGAGTTGCAGAAAAAAAACAACTCATTTGCATAAATAGTCACGGTGTTTATGCATGTTGTGCAATGGGAAGTACTTTCTTTATGTACCTTCATGGCGCCGAATCGTTTGCCGTTCGTGAATGTGAGAGAGGCCAATCCGAGGTAATTAACAAAAAAGTGGGTCAACGAAATGTGCGTTTTTACCATGAGGATCGGGATTCGATTTCTGATCCTCACACCGAATATCGCGAAAAGCAGAAAAATCACCGCAAAATTCACTGATTCGTTCATACTACACCAAATTTAATTTTTATTTGTTGTGAATCGTAAATCCAATATTATTAAAATTACATTCTCTTGACGTAAAGTAATGATTGCTACGTAAAATAAAATTATGAGAAAAGTGCAATATTTAATTTCAAGACCACCCACGTCGATCACAAATTACATCGATTTTTATTTTTACAGAAAGGATAAACAAGCTATTAATAATAATTTGAGCATCCCGCGAAGGAAAAAATTAATTCACATTGAAAAATTTAACTTAAAAAAGTCTTTTGAGATTTTTCTACATCAATAAAAATATCAATCGATATCTCCATAATCTGTCATCTTATCATATATACTTTGGCCAATTAAATACCCCTTAATATTTGTAGGTTTTTGATTTATTTGGCGGGAAATTGAACTATATTCCAAATGCAATGTAACAAGTTATTATATACATATATCGCGCGCGTGCGCAAAAATCTCAAAATAGATTTCAGTTAAATGTGTACTAGCTAAAGAACGTGTATATGTTCATTCAAACGCGCGCGACGATTATAAACTCCTATTTGAAAATAGAGAGCATGGCTATATCCGACGCACACACACATACACGGCGTTAGGAGCGCGTACGAAAAAAGGGGGGAAAGATGCCGCGAGACTCATCGCCAAGTCATCGTCTGACACCCAAAGGCGCCTAAATACCTATTCTAGTACATGTGACTGTATATGTATGAGTCTGGGTAGGACGTGAATATCGTTGAACGATTGCATGGCAATTTATTATTTTGCGAAAATTTCAGCAAGTCGATTTACAGACAATATTTTAGTGGAGCAGAATGATTTTAAAGGGTCGATGAACTTGGGATGCTTCGTCGTTGTTAGAGCGATGTTATGTCCCACGTGACAGTCTAATTTGTCGATCAATTTCGATGCTAATTGACGAAAGTGAATGAATCATTATCGTCGTATATAACTTGAAAAGAGCACACATCATTGACAGATTTCATCTGATTTTTTTATTACTTCAATGATATAATTCTGGTATAAAAAAAAATAAATATCATATAAATCTTTTTGAACGTTTGTCAAATTTTCTACCCATAGGGGTTGAAATTTCAGTGGAATAACACACAATTCTTAATCTGTTAATCAAGTAATTTTTTAATATAAACAGAAAAAATGCATCTTCTTCTGAAAAAATATTAAGTGAAAATTCATATAAACATGGAAAATTCTGCAAAAGCCTCTAGCTAAAATAAATGTTTGATATTTTACACGCACAACGTGATATATCCAATACATAAATATAAACGATATACGCGCGAATAAAGTGGAGAATCGAGTTGGTCGTTGGCAGTGGTGTGCGTAGATCGTCGGTGTGTGCAGGCACACAGACGGGACTCGCGAGACGACAGCCCCACCCTCGCGGCTCGTTGCTTTACGTTTTCCGTCTCCGTTGCACTTGCTGAGCGCGAAGCAGGCGAGATCTCCCCCCTCGCAGCGAAATACGCTGGCGCGCGCGGAACTGGCGCTGAATGTCTGTGCTCCGTTATAAAACCGAAGCGACGCCGCGCGGTGAGCTTTAGTGTGCAACACTCTTCCTTTGCAGCAACACACCTATATAGTATAAAATACATCGTATCGTGCGCTCTCGCCTTTATAGTTTGGCATACACCATATTATCCATCGCATAGCATCGCACAAAAGTTGACGATTGGTTTTAGCGAAGGATCGACTCGAACTTGAATTTCGAACGATATTTATGGATTCGGTGTTGCTGAGTGCATGTCTGAGTGTGAATTGTAATTTGTGACCACCAGGCAGCTACTGTCTTTAAGAATATATTAATAATCAGTGAGATTTCGTCACAAGATAGTAGTCGATTTTCGATCGTTCTCGGCTGTGATTTTGTGTATATCGCTGAAAGATTACGATACTTTTTCCTCTCTCCCACTCGTCGCTTGGAGTGAAATATCTTCTCTACCACAGAGTGAGTATAGAGTCGATGCACTGTTTTATTATTATGACTTTTTTTGCATGTACGCGTGTATCGCAATGTGTGTGCATATGGCCTGTATCGTAAAAGCGTGAAATCAAAACTGCAAAACTGGTGAAAGCATTTCGACTGCTACACTGCTGCTATATAGCTCCTCGCTCGAATACATGCCTCCACACACACACACACACACTGGCACGCAGACACAGACGTGCAGACGGACGCGAATATAATAATAACTTGGTAGTTGTCGTCCGGTTTTTCTGCCATGTATAAGCGACGATTTGTATGAATCGATCAGTTGCAAAAAAAAACGAGACTTACAGGATTCTGCGATACAGTGCGCGCATATACATGAGTCTGTGTTTGCGTGTGCGAGTCGCGAAAGTTTGTGTATGTGCGATATACGTATATAGCTGTAGACACTCGCATACACCTATATAACATAGAAGTACACATTCTTGAGGGGTGAACGAGCGCACGACGACGTACGGACAAGCCCCTCCCTTATGTGTCCCACGTGAATTTCACGCGGACTCGTGACACTCGTTCGGAAATGTGGAAAAAAATGCTTGCACCCCGTTTTCCCCCGTCGATTGTGTTTTCGATATTTTCAACGATATTGTGTAGACATCGGCGAGCTGCGCCATGTTACTGGCGCGTTTGAAATTTTTAACAGTAAAAATAACTGTTCACGATGCTAAACGACAATGTGGATAATTAAAGTCGTTTCTTTCTTGCACTATTTTTACAACGTGCGTGTCTTGTGTATATCGCACGCTATATACCACTGACACATGCTGCAGTGATAATGCATGTATAGGTATACATAAAAAGAAGCGCGTCTTTCGTCGAGCACTCTATGCTGCACAGTACGCCAAGTGAAAGGCTCGAGTTGTGTATGTGTTATACGTAGCGAGCTTCTGCTGCTGCTAGCTGTCATGTCTGTGTGTGTGCGTGTGTTATGTATACACGGCAGCTAGTGCGGCGAGGTATTAAAGGCCTAGACACAGTTGTACGACCTAGAATATACGATCGAGTTGCGTTTTTACTGCAAAATATCAACAAATGTTCTCGAGCCTTATGTGACTCGAGCATTTCACCTTCTCTTTCTTCAGCTTATTTCCAAACATTTTTATTTTCGAAGCTTCCGTCGTAAAAAAGAGGAAAATAGGCGCGCAACGTAGAATCGAAAACAAAAAAAAAAAATGGGGACCAAGTTCAGGGCACGTTGATAAAGCTCGGACGCGCATGCGCCTCGACGTATACGCGCGATAGTAGTAAAGTTTACGTTCACGAACTTTCGACCCGGCGTAGAGCGTGAAAGAGAGTCTGCATGATGCTGCTGATGCTTGCATTATATCTATATAAGTTTATAGGAGTGCGCGCGCCTGACCCTTTTGCGAAAGAGCAAGAGGGGTCGCAAGCGCACCACTATATATACCATGATACGCACAGGTTGGATCGATTTTCGAGGGTGAACTTTGGCGCGAGATCGCGCCTTCGTATAGCGTATACGTATAAGCGAGAGCATACGTCACGCAGATATAATTTGGGATTTTCCCCGACGAGTCAACAGACGTTTCACTTCGAGACAAGAGCCGCGGACACACACCCGCGCGGATACCGATCGATAACGTAGCGTTTGTGCTTTACCCGCATGGTATGTGTACGAGCGAGGGATGATTAATAGGATTCTAAGTGTTTATTGAATTTGAATTTTGTCGCGACGATGTGTTGATAAAAAATTACTGCTATACTGGTCGCGCGCGTCGCTGCTCGTGTATTGCGGCAGATCTCGTTGCCAATACACCAACGTTTATGTGACATTACGCACTTTCCGAGCCACACGCTTACACACACATACGCAAGCACTCACACTTTCAAATATACTGGATATGACTGGTTTGTTTGGTATGTTATGTATGTATGTATGTGGCCTGTGCTTTGCATGACACACTCACACGTACGTATGATTGAATATTGCCATATATCGACGTGTCAAAGTACGAACGCTTATAATATACGCGAGTTAGTACTAATATTATATAAGTACAATTCCGAATTGTTTTTTTTTTATTATTCCGTCGTGGACTCTTTATGTTATTACGATTATTAGCCGCTGTGCGTACATTATATGCGTCGAGCATCGTCGCGGGCAAATTATAAACTTACGCGCGGAGCTATGCGCATCGTAATGGTTACGGAGAGAGACGTCGCCGAGATTTTTTTCTGTTTAATTGCCTCGCGATCGCGCGCGCGCGCACATGTGAAGCTCGCGCAGCCAAAGGAAAATAGGAAAATCATATATAATCGACGTTGGTATCGCGGCTGACCTACATTTTCGATAGCTCAACTTGACTGATTTGAATGAATGTGTGTTTACGAGTACCTTACAGACATGTATGCGTCGTCGTAAACATGCGTATACTAATTGCGTAAAATAGTTTATCCATAACGTACAATGTAATGAGCATTACTCAGCATTAAAATAACGTAATTGTGAGTAGAAATTCGCATTCGTGCGGCTGATACAGCGCCGAGATACATTCACACGTTGTGCCGTTTATATACATATCTACATTTTTTTCTTGCCTTTAACAGAAGAAACACTCGAGCACGAACGAGACACAGTGATAATACTTGAATCCGTGTTAGTATATATCGTACAATATACCGCCACAAAAGAGCATCAATATATTGAAGCCCCTATCACGGATAGTTATGTATAGTTGTATAGCAATAAGCTCGTGACTAATGCAAACGTATATCTCGATTATACTCGAAATTTCTTCTGCGCTCTCAACCGACTCTTTCCACGTACACGATTCGACGTAAATCTCTTTTATTTGTCAATTTACTGCTGGACGCGCACTCGTGATTCAACGACTGCAGTACTTTACTTTTCTAAATGATTAATTAACAACAAAAGTATATAATGTAACGTGCATGCATTATTATGCCGAGTTCAATTAGAGCTTGCAGCCGCACGAGGCGGACAGACAAAGTGCAGCCTGAATTATTGAGCGAGCGCGCGATGCAGGAAATTCGCGCTGGGATAATTTATATATAAAAACAAAAGTGAATAAAATGTTGCGATTGTCTTTTTTGCCAGAAGACCAGGAAATAATTCAGAATAAAGAATTAGAAGTCGTTCGTTTCCTTCCACTTTTATTATCGCTTTTTTTCTTTCTTTCTTTCTTGCCCCTTGGAATAATATTGAACTAAGGCAGCGCTGCTCGATTGTCCGCGCGTCGATATACTTTCGGAGCGAGAGAGAAAGAGATTCGCGATCTATTGGCGGGCTTCGATTATTATTATTTTTATTAACGCGTGCCACGATAATAATATCGATTAGCCGTGATTCAATCTATCGATATATACTATATCTATAATACATATTAATCAATTGTTCAACGTATAGACACGCATCGCGCACGAAATGTAAGACAGAGATCAGCACGTGTCGAGCACCTTATCGATAAAAAGCTATATACATGTGTATAAGAAATATTCGTACGTACAAAAGTTATAAGTCATTATCGAAGCCCTAACAAGACGCGAAAAATATTGTATCGTTCGCAGAGAAAACGCGTGCGAGCCAGTACGCAGTCACGTTTGTTCCTTTGTCGCGCTTCTGATATATTCATCGGCGCACAGCGTGTATCTTTCTTTCGCGATTTTCAAGGCTTTTTTGACACATCCATGATGCGCTCGCTCGGTGCAAGTGCACACACAGACGTTGTGCGCGCTTTGTCGTATGGGCAAGGTCGAGCTCGAGCTCTTATATACGCGCAAATAAACTCGCACTCACACGCATACAGACTCGCCATATTCGAGCCTGCAGCATGCGTAAAAAATGAAAACTTCGACTGACTTCTCTGCTATATTAATCATGTTCCTATTCTTGAATATACTTTTTTCTGCGCTTACTTAGTTTGCCCAACAAAAGGGAACGAGAGAAGCCCCAACGCGCAATCGAGTCTTTTTTTCGTTTTGTAATATTTACATCCGCGCCCATAAATATCTATATTGCACAGCAGCAATTTTCTATCGTGGCAATAGAAATCGCGCTCCATTATGAATATTATATTTTATATTATATAAGAGCTTGGCCGCTTACATATATATCTAGCTTTTAATTAGAAGCGATATGAATTTACTATCTCGGACGCAGCTTGCATCGGACGTCGAAGAGTGCATGTAGAGAAGTCGATATCGCGCGTGCAGCAGCACTTTACTCTAATTGAAACACCCATCGCTAAATGTACCCGCTTGTTCTTACCTATATTACAGCTAGATGTAATATACAATATTATTATCGTGGTTACCGGTTTCTTTCCCCGCGTTTCGTTTTCAATATTAATTTCGCTCTCGAAAAGCTCGATTTTCTCCCACATTTTCCCTCTCGAGAGAGCTGTGTAATTATATACAGACGCGCGCGCGCGGGCAAGTCGGCGTTTTGCCTCCCGCAGCGTAGATCGCGGCAAACAGCACGTCTTATATATCTCTCTCTCGCTGTATAATGTAATAAAATGTATATACATTTCACATTCATTGATATTTGCGCGCGGTTCTCCTCGTTACCTCATTCGTCTTTTATTACCGCGCCCTCTCTCTCGCTCGCTCGTTCTCACTCTCTTGAATTGGCGCGCGAGCGCTCGAATGACTTTCTTTTCTGCTGAGGGACGCGTATATATCACATGTATATACACGCCAAGGATATTAATAGAAGCGTATTTTTGGATGTTGCAAAGTTTTGAAGAAAAAACCCATGCCTGTGCACAATGGGAAATTGCATAATCGTCCGGTTATATTGAATTCAAGCTTGCTCGTTCTTTTTTCTCTTGCATCGGTGTCTGGTGCTTGCCCGTAATCGAGCATCGGATTCAAATTGACATTTCGAGGAATTCGCTAGTTGCAATTTTGTTTCGAGCCTACGTAGGCGTATTTTGTTACCTGTTAAATAACGCGATATCTTTTGCGATACATCA